GGTCGCTGGAGCGTTGCAGAGCCCGAATGGCATGACCTTGAATTGGTAAAGACCGTCAGGGGTAACGAAGGCGGTCTTTTCTCGATCCATTTCATCTACAGCAATTTGCCAGTAGCCAGATCGGAGGTCAAGAGATGAAAAGAAGGTGGCGCCATGGAGGCAATCAAGGGCATCGTCAATGCGTGGTAGAGGGTACACGTCTTTTTTGGTAATTTTGTTGAGGTGGCGATAATCAACGCAGAAACGCCATGAGCCGTCTTTCTTTTTTACTAATACCACGGGAGATGCCCAAGGGCTTGTTGATGGTTCGATTACGTTTTTCCTAAGCATTTTGGCCACTTCGTTCTGAATCACTGCTCGCTCAGATGCTGACACGCGGTACGGCCGACGGTGAATGGGCGCAGAGTCGCCAGTGTTAATTCGGTGAGTGACAATTTTAGTCTGGCCCAAGGGACGATCGTCAGTGTCGAAAATGTCACTGTATGAGGCCAAAACTTGGCAGAGGGCGTCGGCCTGGTGAGGCGACAGCTCCGATCCAATCATGTTTCGAGAAATAGCATGGTCTGATCTGGGTGACCGTGAGACTGCTCTTCGATCAAGAGCAGATAGACCGACAACACTGACATCGTCCTCTGTTATGGCAGTTAGCTGGGCTAGAGACATCTAGCAGGGCAACACTTGAGGGGTGAAACCAAAGTTAAGGAGCGGAAGTAACACACAGTTATCCGCTATGGTCGCGATGGTATAGGGCACAGTAACACTGCGCGTCAGCCGAACGTCAGTAATTGGCGTAACGATATAATCACCGTCGGGAACGGGAGGGGTCGATGACAAAGACACGTACGTGACGGCTTGAGGTGGCAGGCGAACGAAAGTGGTTGGGCTCAAGCGGCTGGTGGGCTTTGCAGAGTAGTCGGCAAAGATTGGTAGATCAAGGCTGAGGGTACCAGACGAACAATCAATTAAGGCCGAGTGTGCTGAAAGGAAATCAAGGCCAAGTATGAGGTCATGAGAGCAGCAGGCTAGCACGGCAAAAAGGACCACGGCGTGACGACCGGCAATGCTGACACGAGCAGTGCACATTCCGATTACTGGTACAGTACCGCCATCGGCAACACGTATTGCCTGCGTCGTAGACGGCGTCATAATCTTTTGTAAGCGGCGGCGTAGAGACGGGCTCATAATAGACAGGTGCGCACCTGTGTCAATAAGGGCGGTCACAGGAACATGGTCGACTTGTACTTCAAGCAGGCTATGGTGCGTGGGAAGCGTCAGTAGAGGATTTTCGGCCGTCATTGGTATTACAGCTTCACCTCTATAAGCTGCAATATCTAGTTTTCCTGCTGCGGTCGTCCAGAGAAGCTCGGCGAGGAAAAGCGCCGAGGTGGCGGAGAGCGGGATTGGCGACGTAGCGGCGACGGGGAGCGAGAACTGCGGCGGCCGGGCAAAGGGGCGTCAGTGGAAGGCTCGTAAGATGACGACGAATAGAAATTGAAGGGTGCGGCGACTGAACGTCAAGAGGTCGTCGGATGCATGAGCGCTGAGGTAGAGAAAGTCTCACGTGGTTGGTTTGACCAACGGCGGCGGCAATAGCGAGAAACGTGCCCAGGCTGGTGGCAGGAAAAACAAATAAGCTGGTCGTCGGGTGTTCGCCATTCCGAAGGGTTACGGAAGGGCATTGTTGGAGGTGAACGGCGAGCGTGTCCTCGGGAGTAGGACGGGGCTTCAGGGCGAGTCAAGGGACATGCTGATGGAAGTCCGAGATTCGCAAACTCCTGCCTCACGACAGCTTGTATTAACGCCCCTGACGGCTGTTGTTGGTCAGAGGCGAGCGTTGCGAAAACGGGTGGCTCAAGAGGAGCCGGACAGGCGGCTTCGATTTCCCGACGAACAATGCGTGTGACGTTGTCATACATGGGGGACTGGCGGGCGGCTTCACACGATGAGGTCGCGGCCGTGTTGGGCAGCCGGGTGAATCGCTGAGTAATACGGCGGCTCTTGGCTTCTTCGAACCGCCGGCACTCTTTAATGATGGCGTCGACGGTGGCAACGTTGTTGTAAACTAGAAGATTAAATGCGTCGTCTGCTATGCCTTTCAGCACATGAGCCACTTTCTCCGACTCACTCATGTGCTCGTCAATCTGGCGGCATAGGGCGATGACGTCGTGAATGTACGCGACGTACGACTCCGTCGACGTCTGTGCACGAGCCGCCAGTTGATTCCGCGCTGCAATCTGCCGCCCAACGGTGTCGCCAAAAAGATCGCGGATCTTCTCTTTAATGGAGTCCCAGCTCGTAATCTCCGCTTTGTGCGTCTCGAACCACACTCGCGGTGGGTCATCGAGGTAAAAAAACACATTGGCAAGCATAAGAGTCGGGTCCCACCTATAGCTTGCGCTGACCCGTTCGTACCGGTTGATCCATTTGTCGACGTCAACGCCATCCTGACCGGAAAATACACCGGGATCACGAGCAGGAGGTAGAACGACGTATGTAGAAGTCACGGTAGGGGCAGGTGGCGAAGACGATGGTTGTTCAACCTGTGACATGGTTGGACCTATGATGATGCGGCCGTTGCGGAGCTTGGTGACGAAGACGGGGAAGTACCCAGCACTTCCACCACAAAGATGTTACGTGAAAATGACACAAGGCGTGTCTATTTAAAATCTATATTTAAACTGATGTGTATGGCGTCGACTAAGATGGAAGCAGCACGCACAACCAACAGACCACTTTCTCGTTGTCGTCTTCTGACTGCTGATACGTCAGCTACGTAGCAATATTTTGAATATAAAGGGGAAGTTAAAATGCAAGCTAGAACTTTTGCAAGCAAAGGACATGTGAACAACATGATGAAAGTTGTGGCATAAAAATCTCTGTCAGGATGCACGATGTCATAAAGCAGAGTTAGGAGGTCTTTCGAGAAAGCTCTGGGTTAACCCAGTGGGTAGAACACTCGGCTTCCGAGCTTCGGGTCGTACGTCTCAAAACTTGCTACTACCAACGCTTTATTAGGAATGAATTTTCTTAGGTTCTCACGATGTTCGCAATCTGTGCTGAGCCGTTGTCCACAGTCCTGCGTGACACCACAGTTTTGAGAGTGAGGATGATCTAGTGTAGTGACGTTGATAAGCAACTCTGCTTTTGTGGCAACAAATAGAACAGTGTCGAGCCTTGATGCATGCATAGCGAACTGAAGCATGTGAACTTGAGTGGCACCTACCCTCTGTTTGCAACATGTGTTGCATGCAAGACTTCATCAGTGCTGCAGATAAGTTTTTTATGGCAAATTTTTCACAGCATTTCCCGCATTACCACTTTGTAATCACACTCAGACTGGCAAGGTTTCGGCTGTTCTAAAGAAAACGGGCGCCATAAAAATTTGTTTTAGTTTTTTTACTTAATCATAATAACATAGTTCTACTGAAGGGCATCTAATAACTGTGGCAACATATTACACAGAGCAAAAAAGAGGAGGGGAAGGGGGGTCACATCAAATACAAAGTTAGCAAATGTCCACAAACTCGTCATAAAAAGAGTTTCATTGCTTTGACTATTATTATACAGTAACGGAAGTACACTGTACTCAGCTTATTCCAAAATGTGTCATGGTGAAATATGGATGCTATGGGGTCTGGATTGTTCTAGTGTGCAATATTGCAAGACACTGCAGATGCATTAAAGGCTTGTGTGTAACTGAGTGTGCACATGAAACTGTGTCACGAAAGGGTTGGTGATGTGTAGTTTAGTGAACAAAGCAGAAGAAGGTAAAACATGTTGACTATTTATGTGAGCACAGCTGTGAGAAGAGGCCTTATAAAAGTGTTGGCTCATGTAGTGCACAACAACTGAGGATTGCTGGCAAGATGGTCTTGTTTATTATAGTTTAATCTGAATGCTCACTTCTAAACAGCTTTGAACATGCACGTAAAGCAATCCCAATATGGCGACTATGTGAATTAAAAGAACGAACATAGGTTAGGTAGACCAATTTTTCTGCACTAAGAGTTGCAAAAAGGTGTTAAGCTGCACGATGAAGACAGGATGAAAATAGAAACACACGAACGCACGCAAAGCGCAGAGGTTTTAAACAATTTTGAAACCATGAAAAGAGTAGCCCGAGACTAACTTGTACAGCATGCCTTGCTTAAGTTACAAAATTTTTTACATAGATATCTTAGAGGCTTGGTAGCTTTAGATTGGCTGTTACATTCTGCTTGTAAATTTCAGTGTCTACAAAAAAACAACAGCAGCAGACTGAGAGCACACTATGAATGCAGGTGACCTGCAATTTTTCATAAAATGATAAAGTAACTGTACGCATGGGGCAACTTCAGGTGGGTAGTTACGATATTCTCTGCTCCAGTCTGTCATTACCAGTAGTGAATATTGCAATATCTTGCACTGTTCCAACAAGTGTGCAACTGCTCTCAATGAATACTCATATTGTGGTTAGTTTTGCTTATCAGCATAGCAAGCTACATACAGTCCATCAAAATGACAGGAGACTCTGTCGGAAGCACATCTGCATCTTTTTCTATTCATAAGCATGGATGCTTAAAACAAATATCGAATGCAAAGGAGGTATTTTTGCATTAAATGAAGATTATACTTCTTTATGATGAGGTTTGGCTGTATCTGAAGAATGCAGTGCCAGTGATATGGACTAGATTGATATGGACAAAAAAAAAAAAAACTTTGGGTCCCAAAGTCATCTTTAATATGCTGTTTATCTACTTCGAGAAGTCCAGTGTTGGCTGGAGTGTGTAATCCTAACTGAGCTGAGGATAGGGGAGGAGACCATGCAACCCTTTGGAGGTAATGTAATTATTCTATTTTGGCTGCTATTCCTGTTTGTTTAATAAGTCACGTGAACGGGTCTGCACTGTGGTTTGCTGGCTGTTTGGTCAACAAGAAAAATATAGAATAAAGCCCTGGTTCTTCTCGCATTATATGAGCCGTGTGTATCATAGTGCATGCTAAAGCAGTCTATCTTTCAGGAACATGATGAAAATGACTCTGGCTGTGCTAACGTGATTGCTACTACTACTGTCACCTTGAGGGATGCAAGGGACCTTGTCGCAACCTCCCGACTGTTCACTCAGCCCTTGACGCCAACTCCAACCGCACCCCCACCACCTCCTTCAGAAACTGCCCCGAAAACCAGGGTCACGCCGAAATTCACTAGTGGTGAGTTGTGCTTGACATTAGAAGTTATAGGCAAAATCTAGGCTTGTGCGAATAGTGAATTTTGGGTTCAATACGAATAGTGATTTTGGCCAAATAATTTAGAATCTAAATGTAATAGTATATATATCGTATGTTATAAAAAAAATGGGCATATTTGTCATGACCTAACTAACTTGCCCAATATATATACTATTAAAATTGAAACAAGGCCTGTGTGAATGCCATTTTTTCTTTAGTTCAAATGAAGTGGAAAAAGACTTTAAATAGTGGCACAATTTGACTTTTGGCAGAATGCAAGTGATAACCTGTAAAATATTTCATGCTTTAGTATTTGTGATACTTGGAGCACATAAGCCGGTACAACAAGCTTTTAAATGTCATAAGTGGCCCCGCCCCATTGGTCTAATGGCTAAGGTACTCGGCTGTTGACCTGCAAGTTGCGAGATCGAATCCAGGCTGCGGCAGCTGCATTTTCGATGGAGGTTAAAATGCTGTAAGCAAATGTGCCCAGATTTGAGTGCACGTTAAAGAACCCCAGGTGGTCAAAATTACCGGAGCCCTCCACTGCGGCGTCGCTCATAATCATATAGTGGTTTTGGGATGTTAAACTCCACACATCAATCAATTAAATGTCAAAAGTGATAAATCGATGTGAGGGTGATATGTGCATTTAATCTTGAAGTGGGGCTTCGCAGCAGTGTGGATTCTCTTAAATAGGTTTTTCACAGCTTAGCACCCCCTTTACTGCAGTGACACCACCTTTACAGGAAGTTTCATGTGGACTAATATATATTTAACTAGGTGCTTTCACGGCTTCGCATCTCTACTCTGCCGTAAAACAGGTTTACGGGGGTTACAAGCGGAATATACACCTAATCATTCATTTCTAGTACTTAGAAATTTTCAGTAATTTGAATTCGAATTGAGATGAATTCGAATACTGTACTATTCATTCAAATATTCAAAGCATTCAAATACTCGCACAAGCCTAGCCAAATCTCATGACCAATGCTGTTGACGTTTGTCATTAGAATTTTTTAAATTTTAGCACATTAAAACTACGTGTTTCTGAATTTAGAGCGAGAACAGAAAACATTTCTATTTCACTTCATTGTTAATGATGCATACTAACCAAAACAAACATGTTTTTTTTATTGGGGGACAATTTTCATTGAACTACTAGGAAACTAATGATAACAGAGGTGATTGGCAAAGTACAAAACAAGCACTAACTACGGTTCTTATGGAATCTTTACTAAATATATACACACAAGTATTTCGTTCCCTAGTAGCGTGCTGAAAATTTTCCCCGTGTATAACCCACTAGCCCTTACCATAGCTCTTCTATATTGAACAGCATAAAGAGGAAGCCATGATAGTTTTACCCACTGATGGGTAAAACTATGTATGAATGGTATATCTCTGTATTCGCATCCCTTTGAAACAAAGTGCAACACTGGTATTACGAGTTCTTTCTTTTAAGACTTATTGACATAACATTCTGGTGTTTCAGTGTTATCACTGTATGGTGTTACACATGCAACCTCCTTTCAGCTGCTGCGTGTGTAGTAGTAGCATACAGGCATGTTTGAAATCTGCATTTGTGAATGATTTTATACACCTACCAAACAATGGACACAAGGCTATATAGTACGACTGAGACTACATGCAACTTGTACTGTATATTCAAATTTGTTAATGAGTTTTTGAACTGCCCCTTCTGCTTAGTAAGGAAACTCATTCCACAGATCATATTCAGACAAACAACTTCAATTACTGTATACACTCATGTAAGGGCCACACTTTTTGTCCGCGTTTTTGATGGGGTACGTTTCAAGAAAGTGTAAAATTTTTGTTAAATTTTCTATCCACGTTTGGAAAAACTTATGTAATCATGCGTATATACTTAACAGCTAGATATCTGACGTCTAGCTGTGGACATCCTCACTAGATATCTTCATTAGTATCGCTGCTCGTGCTCGGCTCATCGCCGCTGCTCGAGTCGCCGACACGTTCGTGTAATGAATTACCCTCAGTGCCATTCACGGCATTATAAATCCCGTTGACCTTAAAACTGCATGAAGCCTCAAGACTGCTATTGCCATCAGGTGACTCCCATGAAATGCGCTGTATCCGAGACACGACAACACTGCCATCTGCTTGAAATTCGGACTGCCAAGTTGGGGGAGTGGCCCTTAGTCGAGTGTATATGATAGTAACTTAGAAAATTGGCTTCACTCCACAACTGATGATCTGTTTCTTCAGTATTTGTGGAAAATTTCTCCATGATTGTTCAAAACCACTAGACCTGGCAGAAGTAATTTGATGCCAGGCATGGCTTTTATCAGTCGGCAAACTTGCAAAGTATGAGTTGTGATTGCTTTCCGTCCCCACTTGAATTGCTTTTTGTAGTAACAAATGGCCATCTAATAATCCTAAACCCTGATAGGGCCATTGTGCTAAATTCCAGTGTCTTTGGCAGCACCCAAGCTTTTCTTGGCATTTTGCGCATCTTCCCATCAGCCAGGCATTACAAAACCCCTCAAGTTCACACTGAGGAGTCTGCCATGTGATGATACTTGACTGTTGAGAAGTCTGATGCTTTGGATGGCTGTTGTTGTATAGTCCTCTTGTATACATACTGTGCATTATGGTCAGGAGCACATCTTTTTGTCTTCCCTTTGGCAGCGGTCATAAATTAAACTTGTGCAGTATAATGAAGGGACACTAAAGATAATTTTTTTCGTCATATTACAACTGACTTTTTTTATGATACCAAAAATGTCGCGCTTGCTGCCAGAAGTTCCAAAAACTCAGTGTGGGGGGGGGGGAATGTTAGTAGCAGTGCAACCTTGCAGTTCCTGCACCAATTGACGTGGTGACATAGTAGATTTTGATAGCGTCTACTTGGGCCTGAGTAGTTCCCAATCTGTAAAAATTAAGTAAGTTGTCTGTCAAGGGAGCCAGAGACATTACATACAAGGTTTCAGAAAATTTAGTTGATCTAATTTGGCCGAATTATGCAAAAACACTTTGAAATCTGTGACATCTGAGATTTTGGGAGGTAAATTTAAAAGTAAACCTTTGACATTTATTTCCTCATTTAATAAAGTTATGCTAGTAATATTCACGTCACTGGAGTTTCAGAGTATAATTTATCACTCTAAACTAACTTATTATTTCATTTTATGGTCTCTTGAACAGTGCTGTCTTAATTGCATACCATGGTTTTTCTGTCATGAGACTGGAAATATGAATGAAAAAATTTAACACAATCTCACATTTTGGCTCAACCTTTCGCTTGACTCCACTTACTGCTATTCATTTTCCTTAATCTTATCTCATCGTTTTGCCTGAAGCTTCCCTGCCAAGTCTCCCGGATTGGCCGGGAGACTCTCAGATTTCGACCGTTTCTTCCGTTTGTACGGCTGTCATGAAAATCTCCCGGAAATTGAAATTTCTGTGCGTGATCTGGCCGCATTGACAAAAAAGTAGCTCAATCCGCTCCAGGCTTTTCAAACCTACCTCATTTTATTATAAATTAGTTCAAGAAGTGCTCATCTAAAGGTACAGTATAATCTCAGTGATGTGAAACAGCGGCAGATATGAATTCTTAAAATTGTCCAGCCAAATTCTACTATTCTCATTAGGCCTCAATTCGAATGTTCTGAACACATTTCCTTATTGCAGAGGGCGATACGAACTTGAGTGCAGAAATCGTCGAACGAAGGCCAAGAGCAGCGTACTCGAAGCTTCGGAAATACGTGTGCGACCGGCGCACGCGCTGTCTTCTACAGTGTGTGTGAGTGTTGTTGCCACAACCGCTGTGGACGAAACCGTGGTTGCTCTTGACACTATAATGTATGGAAACGACATAACTGGCAAAACTCCGAAAGTGTGTGCTCAACCAGTCAAAGCAACGCTGCTTTCCGCAAACTAGGCAGACAAAACTGCGGCAGATGCTATCGTAGATGGCATAAAATGACTTAGTTTGAAGGCACGTGCGCAGCCTAGCGCACGGGGATTGTAAAATGAACTACCGTTTGCTGCAACCGCCATGCACAAAATCACGGTCGTGGCGACACGATAACGATCTACAAGCTCCGAAGGCATGCAGCAGTAGATTAAAGGCAGTAAATACGTAAAAAATTAAATAAATTTACAGTTTCGCCGCAAGGGCGAAGCAATGAATGCGACAGCAACAACTTGGAATGTAGCGCTGAGAACGGCAAGCAGATCGAAATGTGCAGCGTGCTGCTCACACACAAAGGACACACGAAAACAATACTCGCAGGACGAGAGCGAACTAACAATGTTTATCGCTCGACACGTAATGTGCTGTTTAAACAAAAACAGTGCACGATACGTAATCACAGGTAGAGATGAGTACAAACTAACAAGTGACCCAGTTCTTATACCTCGCTGTGTACGAAAAGCGTGCTGTTTTTGCAAAATGGGCCTGTGCAGAGACCAAAGTAACCTTTGTGGGCCCGGCAATAAGCACGCGCACAAGCATCCTCCCCCCCATCCATGGGGCAAAATACACGTGAGAGATAAGCACGCGTCGGCGCATCGCGACAAGCTGGGCGCCAAGCGTGGATGGCTTTTTTTCTTTCTTGAGTGTTTATATATATAGGTACGTATACATATACGGTCAAGAACGGTGGCGGTGGCGACGGCAAAAAAAAATAGCCTAGACTGTCCATATAATTACTATCGCAATAAAAAGGGGCCAGACGTGTTTTGGCAATCCTGTAAAAAGAATTTAGTAGTGAGCAAAGCTTTGACCTGCACTTAGTGGCAGCCAGCTGCGCCGTCCCGTCCGTTCACGTGTGTCCCAGGAAGACACACGCGAGTTGTTTTGACCGAAATAGATTCTGCTAGTTGTGTTCATTCTTTGAGACTCTCACCTTAGTGAAAAACCCTACACTCATGTGTTACTCCTAGCCACTATAAGACCGCAACGCTGATGTTGGCACTTGCGATTCCCCCCCCCCCCCCTTTCTCCCCCTTTTGTTTTTTGCATTGTTTTTTTTTGTTTGCTTGTTTGTTCTTTTTTTTGTGCCTTCCCAAGTGCGGGTCATAGCTTTGCTCACTACTAGATTCTTTTGACAGGAACGCCAACTAACTGTTGCGGAAATCTCCCAGATTCAGAATTCTTAAATTTCACAGGTATGCTGAAGTCACTCTACGAATAGTCATTTTTCACTAATATCTGCACCTGAAAATTTTTTTGCTCTTCTGCAGTTTTTGTTAGCTGCTACATTGTTTATTGACTTGCAGTCTGAAGGATTTAGGCAAGCAAAGATTTTCTAGGGGTTAATGACTGAAATAGAAAACAGTTGAATTTCATTTAATGAAACCTGTAGAAACTGTGAAAATACATTCCACTTAAAGGAATACTAAAGGCAAATAAAGTAGACACCTTTAAGACAAACTCAAAGGCACCGCGATTGTTTGTTTGTTTTGTAAGGCGTTTTTTTTTTATCAGAAGCGCCTCCAAAAAAGGAATGCTAACATGCCAAGTATGCCCAAATATATTGCTTGAAAGCACTGAATGAAGAATACTTATAATGGGGAGGAAAGGGACAAGAAAAAGCATTTATTTGGCTCAGCTTGATAAAAGCTATGCTTTCAGGTAGAGTATTTAGACTAACCTAACGAGCACTTGATTTTGCAAGTTCATAATAAATATTTTTATGGTTTAATTGCTACGACATTTTAACAATAAAACTGTAGCCTGATCTTATTTCGACGATATTAAAAAGGGAGGCAGAAGAACAATTTCCCTTTTATGGAATGGAAAATTAAGTTGTCTGGCTGTTTACCTTCTGACAGGCTGTTTTTCTGGCTTTGCTATCACTTATGCATATGCCTCTATTGCATACCGCTACCTTGACAAAGCCAATATACGCCACTTTGCTTATGAAAGTCTGCAAGCTTTTCTTTGGGGTTCGGATAATTTCTTATTTTCAGCCCACAATAATTCTTTCGGAACACCCTGCAGCTGAAGATCTCCATTTACGCTACTCACGATCACAAGCCTCGGGCACACACAAAAAGACTTGACGCAGCTATAGTTAGTGTGCAAAATGACCTTCCTTTGTCGTGCACTTTCATTATGAAAATGGTGCATCACAATTTGCTGCATTTCACTGGAAACAGATATGACACGCATAGGCCCTATGCAAAACAACGCAAACTGACCACAGCATGTGCTCAGGCACCATTGTGTGACAGTGATGACAATGCATCTGACTCCTCTGATTGGATTGCTAGTGCTGCATATGTGGTTTTCGTTTCATGTGATGGTAATGTACAGACAATCTTTGTTCTCATTTTCACTTAAATATGGCTTCCCCCCCCCCCCCCTCCTTCATTTGCATGTTTCCCTCTAGCTAAGCTATTGTGTTCTTTTGTTGTCTACTGTACTCCTGTTGGGAAACTGAAGAACGCGAGGAGAATATGAAAAGGCAAACACTTTTTGTTGCTTTCTAGGCTGATGAAGCTGGCCCTTTCTCCACCTACAGACTAGGGGTGAGGAAGATACTAGCTTTATGAGGCAACCTTTCTTTTCCGCTTATCTCGCTTTCTTGCTTTACGTCGCAAGTTGCTTCCGATTTCCTTCAAGTCTTTGCGCCAAGATTTTTTATTATTATCTTTTTTTTTTTTCATATTGCTTTCTCTTGCTCACCTGAATGCTCCCATCAAGACTATAATGTTCGTTGCGCAGAATCCCTATCCTTATTGGTCGCTGCGAGAGTTAGTCTTAACAGAAGAGGCCAGTTATGTGGTTCATCTTAAGCAGATTTTTTTTTTTTTTTTCATTGAGTCTATGGGAAACCAAACAAACACTCCTGTGTTGTTCATCTTAAGCAAGAATTCGTCGTAACGGGAGTTTACTGTATGAAGTCAACATTGATTGTTAAAATAGCGGTCCAGAAGCCTCGTAGTGCTGCTTTTGTGTCAAGAAAGTGCTAATTTTGAAATAAAATCACGTGGTAATGGTTCGCACCGCGTTAGCGTGCTTCAAAGTGGACTCTTAGATGTCACTGTATTTGTGTGCAACGTTGCGCGTCTTTAATACAGAGTCACCGACACGGGTAGCAGCAGAACGAAATTAGTGGGAGCCACAGTAGGAACAACGGCCATTGAACAATTTCCTGAAATCTCGAAGGTCATAGCTCTGCTTGCTTGGTTCTACTCAGCCCTGCTAGATGGCACCACCCTAACCAGCCGAAAACTGAATTTTCGAAGCACTCGTGCCATTCTGTATAGTGGCAGTTCATTTTTCTATAAATCAAGCAGAAATAAACAAGCAGCGTTTTATTACGTCTCTTGATGCACGGAATGTTCTTATTTTATTGCAGCTACTTTGATTACTAGTGATTGATTGTAGTCGGACACTCTCATGTCATCTGGATCGTTTTGCAAATATCTCACTCGTAGTGCACGTCGTGTGCTACAGTTAGCTTAATTTCTTGATAAGTAAGGCACTGCTGTTGATAATATTGCTGTTTTAGTTGCTGTCATACATCGAGCTTTCACCCTGACATAAATTTTCTTTTGCCTTCAGTGTTCCTTTAACAAGAGTTTTGTTTGAGAGATGTACTTGGGGATACAGCGTTCAAATGAAAAACTAACCAAATGAGAGACAGTTCTTCCATTCATACAATAAGCAGTAATCTCATTGATTCCACTCAAGAAGTTAACCTATTACAGTAGAACCTCTGAAGTTTTACTAAACATGATCTGTGGAGGTGGTGTGCGTGTGCCTTTCTTAGTATGTATTTTTAACTAATGCTGTCCTTTTGGTGACGTGGGCATCAAAGGCTCTGCACCCAGCACTCCAGTCGCTCAGCGTCGTGGCGAGAAAGGCTTGGATGCTACAACACCAAGAAGGAGCAATTCTGCTGGGAGGCTGCTTTCTAGGGAGCATATTTTTTGCCCAAAGACTGTTATCAAGGCTGAGAGCTGTGGGCCGTGTGGCAAACGCATCAAGTTCTACAAGACTGCCTACAAATGCAACCGTTGTCGCTCAGTATGCCACATTGAGTGTAAAGATCAGGCAAGTTGTTATCCCTCATTATCCTGTGTGTGACGCCTCAATTAAAGGGTCCCTGAAACTGCTTTGGAAATTGTCAGGGTTTAGGCTAAATTATTGTCAAATAATTCGTGCCACAAAATTAAATGATGCACTTTGTATTAAGGCAGCTATAGACAGTTATGTCGCCCCTCCTTCTCAAGAGTATCTGGCAACTATAGTGCACTTGATAGTTTGAGCTGCGCCACCCTTTCTGTGGCCTCTGCAATCAAAACCAGCTGTGTGCTGTCGTGGACACGGAAGTGTGTAATGTAGCTGAGATGTGCTCCGCCAGCTGCTGCAGCCCTAGCAGCTGTTCTTATTTTATTCTCCTGTATGCAGACAATCTGCAAGCTCCAAGAGGTATCTGGACAAACAAAAAGCATTTTCGAACAATCGCCGATAAGTGTAAACTTGCAGTGTGGCTGTCCTCGGAAGAGAAGTTGCGGCGGTGGACATGTTGATCCTGCCATTGATTGGTGTTCACTGCAGCGACGAGCTGAAGTGACTCTTTCTTGCCTTCACTGCCTTGCATGAGGTCGCAGCTTTACAAGTCCCCATTCACCACCGTATTTGCAGCACACAATGCAGCTAGGGTAATTCATGATGTCTTGAAAAAGAAACAAGATAAACACCGTCACGCAGCTCTCATCGACACTGAGCATGTTCTAACACATGCAGACAACACTCGCTGTCTATCAGAAGCTCAGCGATTTGGACTGGACCGGTCCAATTGGATTGGTCATCGCTCCTGGAGCAATCCTATGTAGAATGGAAGTGGGAAATTAAAACCTCGTTCAACTGTGCCGCTACCGTCTGTAGAGATTTACATGTCTAGTTATAAATTACTGCTCATTGGAGATAGAGCTTAAACTGGTCTGCAAATGATCCTTTGGCCTTGCTTTACTGGCTCAGTGCATTTATACAAAAAACATCAAAACAGTTTCAGGGTCCCTTTAGTCGCTTTCACGTTCCATCAACAAAACCACACTATGGACTGTGCCTTCGTGCTTCACCCACTGTGTTTAGCCCAGTGGCTATGATGGGTGTTTCGCTGCTAATTGTGAGGTTCAATCCTTGCAACGGCACCCATTTCTTTATAAAAATGAAATTCACAAATACTTCTATTCTTCGATTTAGCACATGTACTCGTGTCTTAACATGCACCCACTTTTTATAGGCAACTGAATGCCGCTGAATATGATGCACTCGTGGTTTATGAAAGAGCAATATGGCATGTCCTCGTGTTTAATTATATGCTATGAATCTAATGGTCAGCATGGGTTATGTGCCTTCTTATCAGGTGCCCTTGCCTTGTATTCCGGCGAGCCAGACCCCTACACAAGGCGGAACAGCAGGTCGCCACGGCCGAATAATCTCAGATTATGTGCCGCCTACACCGCCAATGGTCCCAGCTCTTGTTATTCATTGCATACAGGAGGTAGAAAAAAGAGGGATGCAAGATGTAGGACTCTATCGGTAAATGTTTTATGTAATCTTTTTATTGCATTGCATTGTACTTCCGTACTATTGTTGCAGATGTGTCACTTGTTTGTGTTTTTTTCACTGTACACAAGTTTGCAAAATAATGTTATCTTTGACAATTTTCCTGCCTGGTTCTTTACCATCATAGCCATATGACAATATAATAAACAAAATGTATGTTGTTGCGGCTGACGGCCATCTGAGGTAGTTTCTGTTTTGCTCGTATGAAGCCTGCCGAATGCATATTGCCTGTTGCTAGTTTAAATGGTAGGTATGGCCTTGTCCACAGGAAAAGCGATTTAATTTTATGAAACCAATTTGCCGAATGCTAGATTGAATGCCTGATTGGTGCTCATAAAACCAACTCCACTGTTCAAGGCTTCAGTTGAAACTTGAGACAATATTCGGTTCATTGATGTATGTCAGGCACTCCTTAGGTCGAATGGCTTTTTCACTGCTGTGGACAGGATGAGAATACGGTGTTTTTCTACATGTGTCTGTATGACAGTGTGTTGTCATTTTCGTTAAGTTTTCTTACTGCTTATCTTGCACAGAATACCTGGGGCAGAACGAGAAGTGCGTGAACTTAGACAGCAGTTCGAACGAGGCAAGGGTGTACCCAACATGGTATGTTTTTAATTTTCTCTACATTGACAGTTTCCTTCTTCCTCTTCTTTTTTTAAGGCATGCTAGTAGCTTTGTAATTCTACTTCACACACAACTTTTTATTCTAGTCAAAGGCTGACATTCACGCTGTGTGTGGTGTACTGAAGGATTTCCTGCGGTCCCTACGTGAAACTCTCATCGTCAAGTCTCTGTGGAAAACGTTCGTCAATGCAGCACGTAAGCTCACAGGCCTCTGAAAAAGCCATTTGGAAAAATAATTTCGTGACATCAAACTGTAGAACACTCCAACTTCATATACTAACAACTAGAACAAAATCTCGCAGCTAAACTAGTGAGTATGGTCCCCCTTTCGAAGTCATAACAGTGCTGCACTTGTGAAGACTTGTGTATAAAATGCTTTTATAAAACAAAAATATTGCATGTACTGTTTCACTCGAATCACAGCTGCTGCTTTGTCTCCACATGTGTCATCAAATTTTTATAGCTGAAGGCTTTCTGCAATTGGTTTGGAGAGGTGAAAGTCTGAAGATGCTAGGTCTGTGTTCTGCAACAAAAGTAACCCTTCCTTTTTTTTTAATTAGTTTGCTGCTATCAACTATTGAAAGGCAGGTTTCTATCCATGCCCTTCCCCCATCATCTCTCCACTTGTAACCAAAACTTATTTGTGTGAGCTGTTCATGGATAGTCAATAACATTCATGCTTTATAAAGCATGAACGCATCTTCAGAATACATGTAATTTTGCAGTAATATTGCGTGGTACAAACGTACAATGCCATGGGGCATCAGAATAGATTATTATCATAACTACCTTGTAGTTTAGACCTGATCACCCATTACAAAAGGCACTCGCGTTAGTGCACAAATTTCCTCAAGACCGCATAGTGGTGTTAGCAAGTTTGAAAATATATCACGCACGTAATTGCTCGTAGTTTAAAGCATGCTACCTTTTACACAGAATGCAGCTATATGCAAAAGCTCCAGTCATACAAGCCACTTCCAGCATATTCGTTACATTTTAGTAATCCATAATTTAAACTTCTCGAGTTTAAATTATGGATTTAAACTTCTCGAGTTTAAATTATGGTGCATCATACTATAAAAAGTATTCATTCAGTGGTTGAAATGCCCACTAGGGACAGGATATATTGCGTCAAACTTCTGAAGGCGAAGCATAAGGGTTGCTCAGTTTTGGCTCTGATGATTAGTGTCGCTAACATTGCTGTAGAAGCTTGGGACAGTTGGGAACATCAACAAGATGGTAGCAATTGAAAAGCGACAAGGAGAAGAGGGCTGACAGCTATGCAGAAAATTTTCTTTCAACTATCGGTTTAGTGTTAAACTTCCGTCAAGTGACATTTCCCTGACATTTACGGTAATGTCTGCCAGTGATCATGCATTCTGCATATACTACCATGATGTGCAAACATGGCAAAGCTGCTGTTTACTTCGTTATACTGAAATTTCGAGGAAATATCCGAAAAGCTCCAACTTGAGGGAAGTGTGTTATTTGCTTGCTGTCTCCACAATTTTTACTGTAGTGGTACACATTGTAGGATGACTAAAGATATCAATTTTAACTTTGTGAAATGAGCATTGTAATTACAGTGAAGTAACTTGAACTTCATAGAGGAAACTGGTGGTCAGGTCAAATAAAAAAAAATATTGAAGTCCTTCCTGTGAAGAGCCTATTGCCGCTTTGAGATTTACAGAAACCTAACCTCCCCCCTGTCTTTCCGCTTAATCTTTCCTCCAAAAAGCTGCCTCTGGTAATTTTCGTGCGGGGATAAAATTTGGCCATATTCACTGGCGAAATGGCCATACGCTACTAGTAGGCGCAAGGGCGAAGCATCATATGTAATAGCAACAAATTGTAATGTTATACAGAGTAACACTGGCAACTAACTCTCTTGAGTCCGATATTGCATAACTCTGCAAAGGCTCGAACTACAGTGTTTCTGAAAGCGATTGCAGTGGTGTTATTTGTGCTGAATTCATTAGCATATGTGCATCATGTATGCTATCGCAGAAAACACAGCCCCCATACTCACGTAACAATGTGGATTGATGACTGATATATAACAACACTTCCTCATTTTGGATGCCTCTGAAAATTATGGCAGTTGTGCTCCTTGATGTTTGTTTTGTTTTTGCCTGCTGAATTGCCAACTTCATAATTCCAAATGAAAATGCACTGTGACCTACCATCCACTCCCTTTATTTTCATTGTGTGAAAAGGGTGCACGACACTGTAAGTGTTGGAGTACTTATTTACAATAAGCACATTACAGAATACAACTATTCGGGGGTGAGAGCTAAAGGCAATCAGCCCGACAAAGGCCCCTGTCCCTCTGCAGTTCATGGCAACCTTCGATATGAGCACAGTCAAAAACAAACATCAGTACATTGGTTACATAGAACTTGACTACAAGTAGCTTGCAAGTGTACATACAAAAATTCACTCAGAAACAAAGATAATAAGTCAACATAGCTCATTTGCAAAATTAGACATCACTCACGTAGAGATACATAATAACCAAGTGAAATTTACAAAAACGTTCCGACAGTGACGAATAGAAAGTGCATTCGGATGCACCGAGATTAAACTGTACAATACTACAGTCAAAATACAAATTAATAAATGATTTAAAGATTGATATCGGCATGAAACTCCACTTAATAGTTTTGATAATGTATACCAGCGGTTACTAACAAATTGTCTGTTTGTTTTTTGAAGGCTGCTTGGCTTACCTTAAAATTCAATTTATCTGCAAAGGCATTTATCACGTGAGGTGTTTGATATGCAATACATTGTTTTCCATAATTGGTTCTTGTTTTGAGTGCTTTCTTCTTTTATTCTGGCAAATGGTAGTGTAATGTTTCAGTACAACTTTTCTCGTATAACTTGTCCTTTTGAATTAACTGCAGCAATTTAAAGTAATATAATTGATCCACCTTGAGCATGGGATGTTTAATGAATAATGGAGCAGTTTGTAAGTCTTGTATGTTTTTCTGTATTTTTCAAAAGAATGCAGTATTTTCTTTTGTATATTTATTAGCTTTTGATAATTTCTTTGTGATGTTCCCCAGACTAGCATCCCAGAAGTCACTTTGAAATGGAAAAGCTTGCAGTACATGCTTTTTTTAACCTTAGTGGAAGTAAGTACATTGTTCTAATGAAACAATCAACTATCATACTAACGCAGTAATTAGATGGTTCACATGTGTGTTCCAGTTTAATTCTTCCTGAAACCACACGCCAAGAAATTTTTGTTCCCCAACATGTGCGATGCAATTTCCTTCAAATTTTACAGTTATGTTAATGATAGGTTTATTTATAGGCCGGAATATCATATGGGTTGTTTTTTTCTTTTTTCACATTTAAGCGCAGGTAATTCTGCTTTAACCAATTTGCAAGGTGGCTTAGATTGTTATTTACGCTTACTTCAAGTGATAATAAATTGTCTGATGTAAAGAAAGCATTGTAACGTCAGCGTACATAATAAGTTTAGGGGAATGAGGTATATCGACAATATCATTTATATAAGCAAATAGCAATACTGGGCAGTATGGACCCTTGGGGCAGTCCTTGGTTTAATTTTATTTTTGTAGATATTGTGTTGTTGATTTGTAAAAACAGGTAGCGATCTTACAAGTAAGTAACTTTTTAACAACTGTAGTGCGACTCCATGCACCCCATGCCTGGATAATTTATTAATCAGTAGTCTGAATTGTATGGTGTCAAATGCCTTCTGAAGATTGAAAAAGAGCCCAAGTGTGTATCTTTTTTCTATATTTTTGATTATCTTATCTTTGATATACAGTAGCGCTTGTTCAGTTGATTTATTTTTTACAGCGAAAGCTGTTATGAGAACACAACTCTGGTCACGCGCCACCGACAAAGTGGGGCTCGAACCCGGATCCACTGGGTGCCAGCCCAGTATTTTACCACTGAGCCACTCCAGTGCTTGGGACTTGTTGGCAAACTTTATTTAGGCAGGCTTGATGTGGGGAAAAGCAATTGCATTAATGTGACTTATAAAGCGTTTGAAAACAGTGAAAGAACAACCTGTTGTTGCATAATGCAAATAGCATAACGAATGGGTCGTTCAACGCTCCAACCCATTGCAAAAGCTTTTGAAAGCGTTTGAAAACAGCGAAAGAACAACCTGTTGTTGTACAATGCAAAAGCATAACGAATGGGTCGTTCAATGCTCCAACCCATTGCAAAAGCTTGTTCTTGTTCACCCATTAACTGTGGCGCATGCCAAGTTCAGCCATAATTCGTCATCGTCGTCAGCCACTGCATGAGCAATTGGCACAAATTTCCTTGCAACTGTTTAGTGGCTACCACACTTCTCAGAAAAATGACGAAAAATGGCATAGCGAATGCTAGCATACTACCAAAAAAATTTTCTTTATAATGCCATAGTGGGTATCAAGCAAGTGTGATTGTAGTAGTATATACCTAATGAGTGTTTACAAAAGTCTCTGAAAGGCCACTCTTCTAGCTTTCGCTGTGACTGTGCTGCACCTTATGCGCAGGCCTGGCATTTTTTGAGAACCATACTGACTTTTTGTTATTATTTGATGCTTATCAAAAAAGGATGAAAGTCTATGCGAAATTACCCTTTCAAAAATTTTTAATATTGGAAGCACAGAAATAGGGTAATAGTTGGCTTAAATATCTATATCACCACCTTTATGTACTGCAGTGACTATTGCAACCTGTGGCTGCTCAGGAAATATGCCGTTAGTGGGGGTGAAGTTTATAGTATAAGCCAACACATCGAAATGAGCGGTGATATCAATTTCAACTCGACAGAACCTATTTCATCGGTTCCTGATGCAACATTAATTTTAAGCTTACCTATAAGCCTTGTACTAATTGCATGGTTGTAACAGGTTATTATTATGATATTAGTTCAATAATATCCAGTATTACTGAATATGCAGTACTGTGGGCTTCTTTAAAATACTTTTGCATTTTCACCTTCCCAACTTTCCTAGGCTGAAGCACTCAACATTTTTTTTATAAAACTGGTACTAACGCAATACAAATTCTTGTCTGTAAAAAAAAACAAAAAGCTACACCTTATTCATTTTCTATGTTGGCAAGTTCATATAGGCTAATTAATAAAGCTGTGGAAATGCCCGAAATTCGAATGCTTTTTAAATATTATTGAATATTTGATTTGCACTGCAACATTACTATTCAGACAATTCGAACTTCCCAAAGACAATTAGTCAACGTCTCATCGGCAGTGGCCCTTTCAAAATTTCAACATGCTTCGCTCTATTACATTCTCGTGTTGCGGCAAAGTTGCCTTTCAAGCTCTGCTACAGTCGCAAGTGCATTGATGAAAAAAAAATTAATGTGGCAGAGATAAGGGCTCAACTTATGCTTATTTGAATCTAAATTTGGGCAGGAAGTTCAGAAATTTAACCACCGAAACTATTTAGCATCTAAACTTGTATATTGGCTTTACAAGGCAGATTTAGAGCTCTGGACTCGAAGGGAGCACACCTTCTCCACCACACCAGTTGAGCTTCCGCAGAAGCTGAAATAGAAAGAGAGCCTAATAAATGTGTATCTTTCTTTCTTGCTGTCCGTGTGTAGTTTTGCGCTTTCTATGAAGATCGAGAAGAAGAAGTTGAAATAGCATTTTTGCATTTCATGTGCGAAGTGTTGTCGGCAACACTTTGGTTGCACCAAATCATGTACATATATACAATTCAGCCTCTGCATGGCCTCATTCTTGATAACTATAGAACACCAACCCACCAGTGCTTGATCAAGCTAGCCAAAAGAAACACTTTCATGTTGCTATCCCAATAACATATGCTTTGAATCCTCTCAAACCTTTTTTTTTGTAGTTTTACTTTGAAGTATTAAAAAAATATTTGAGAAATATTGTTTGATTCATATTTTTTTTCTGATCCAAGACGTTAGATATTCTTCTCATATTTGCCCAACAAACTTGGTTGTACTGGTTGTGGATGCTGATTTTTTTTTTTTTTTTTTTTTTTTTTTCTGGGCGGCACAGAAGTGGATGACGGAGACCGCGTGTGGGCCATGTGGCAGGCAGTGATGCAGTTGCCACAGCCAAACAGAGACACACTGGCTGCGCTGGTGCTCCACCTGCAGAATGTGGCCAGCCATCATCAGACAAAGATGCCTATCAGTAACTTGGCACGTGTCTTTGGACCAACTGTTGTGGGATTTTCTTCAAATGATATGACTGCAGTGGCCAACTTGCTGGCAGAAACTGAGCAGCAGGCACAGGTGAAACTCTATAAAGGCTAATTACTTTGTTGCAATTATCTGTAGAAATGCATTCTTTTTGCAGTAATTCCTGCTGTGCATGTTTTCTTTCTTGTTCCCGTTGTGCAGCTCTGAATATGCAATGTGGGGTGGCAGGGCATGAAAAAAGTAGGATGGCCACATTTTTATCCTCCAATCATTTTATGTAGCAGCACTGATATATGTTCATTGCTATAAATTTGCACACGGTTGTTCATCAGCACTTGTGTTGTTTCTTACCTACCTACCCGTTTTCATGCTCTTGGCGCCGCAGTAACTCAACACTATATTAAAGAGGCCCTCCAACACTTTTTCATGTAGCCATAAATGAATTTAGTAAAGGAGTTAATTGCCTCAGGAAGTGACCGCCACAAAGATTTTGGGAATTCGTCCTGTACAAGTCAAATTAAAGATTTGTCGCATGCTGCAATGGCTTTCTCTCGTCCCGACGAAAGAGCTAAAAGCTAAACAGGGAGGCTTGGCATGGAGGAATAAAATGCTTCACGCTTGTCTCTTGACCATGAGCACTTTTTCTATCTCTCTCCTTTTTTCTTTGAACATGCGGCTTTTCAGTGTGACGACGCGGACAGGTCGCGCCTTCTGTGGCGGCCCCAGTAACTCCCGAGCACACCATGCTCAAATCAGCTAATGGAATTCCTAGGGCCTCGGACACAGCGATCTTTAAGTATGCAGCACCATTTGTCGAAAAAAGAGAAAGCGATTTCTTGCTGATTTTGATGAGAATTTATTGTAAATTTCAGGACGTGCTGCGCTATAATATTTGGCTCGTGTGTTTTCAGGAGCCTTGACTACCTGTCGGCAGCGTTTCCTGACCAGGTTCAAAAAAATGTTGCAGAGTCTTACTTTAAGATCATGGGTAGACCTGCCACTCCAAACTGTGCATAAATGGCAATCGGCATGCACAACGTCAAATTTCGCAGTCTTATCGACTGAGCAACAAGCGTTGGATACAGAAAGGATGTAGCCGGATCCATATCTCGTGTAGTTTTGGTCACGTCGTATTTCCGCTCATGTATTGTTCTCACACCATGCATGGTCTTAATACCGTGCACCAGTCTTGCACCTCGTGAAGAAAATGTGTGAATCTTGTTAAGGTGGCATTTGTGTGCAGACCTTTACACGACTCTATTTTTTAACAGTGAAGGTGTTAGTCAAAATATAAAGACAACAGTGGTGTTGCGAAAATTTGCTGCACTGTTGCTGAGCAACCTAAGATGCTAGGGCCGTGTCAGACAGTGCACGTCTGCATTTTGCCCTTGTATTCAAGACATTTTGTCTGAAATAAGGAGCTGAATGAAGGGATACGAATGAATGAATGAATGAACCGTCAAGTGCATCACACGCCCTGCAATGGAGATGATCCAACTTTAAAAACTGAAAGAAAAATTGTAGTAAATTGTAATGTTATATGCAGGAATGCTGACAGATAAATCTCTTGAATTCGATATCGCGTTACTCTACAAAACACTGGTGTAAGAGAATACAGCTGCTCCAAGGGGAAATGCTTTTTTTCACTCTCTCCACATTGAGAGCTTGGAATGTACAAGGGTATACAAGTGGCACACTGATGGTTGACGAAATAGCGTGCGTGCCTCTGATCACGACGGCTGTTGCTGAAGGGGCGAGTTTCCTCTCTGCATGGGCATTCAACAGCAGGTCGAACAAGCAGTTCGGGGGAGGGAGGGGGGTATTGCATGCACATACCCCCCCCCCCCCCCCCCCCAATTTGGCGCGTCTAATCTCGCCATGGCGAGTGCATTGCTTGACTCTATTTTGTTTGCGGTTCTCATGTCAGATGTGGTGCTTTAATGACCAGAGCATAAGCTTTTTAAATTCATTTTAGAGAGTTATCGGGTTTTAAATGAAGGTAACATTTAATAGCTCATCTCTAGTCTTCTGTTGCTGTTCCTGTGATATGCAGTGTTTTATTCATACCATATTTACTCGCATAATCCTCGCACTTTTTTTTGCCGGAAAACCGATACAAAGTTGGGGGGTGCGAGAATTACGCGGGGAAAACTTTCCACGAAAACGTACAGAGCGAAAACGAAGTGGCCACAAAACTGGATTCTCACACCAGAAATTAACAGCAAGCTTTAAGAAGTACTAATTAAGACTTACCTCAACAATAAAAGCAGAGGTTCAACACAAGGCAAGATTTATTTGAGACACAAAAAGTGGAAGCAAATAGTCGAGAATTAGAATGCCATACACAAAGCTTGTGGGCGTTGCGGGCGTAGTGGTAGTGTTTGTCACTCAACAGGAGCCCTCAAAAGGTAAACATAGGACGTCAATATTGGGTTGATGGCTATTTAACATAATCGTCTGCAGTTTCCTTCTGAAGAAATAAAGTTTACCATCAATCACAGTTTTAGGCATACAACGGGCCCAACGCGTCTTAGTGGCTTTCAGCTGCCGTCACCAGTAGCGAACACAAAACTCGTAGACTCTGAAGGGCCTAACGGCGGCCCTGTTGCCGTTGTTTAGTGCATGATCTATATTGCATTTCCGATGGAGGCGGAAATGTTGTAGGCCCGTGTGCTCAGATTTGGGCGCACGTTAAAGAACCCTAGGTGGTCTAAATTTCCGGAGCCCTCCACTACGGCGTCTCTCATAATCATATGGTGGTTTTGAGACGTTAAACCTCACATATCAATCAGTGCATAATCTATCACTTGCAACTTGAAGCAGCCGTGTAGCTTCAGTATCGCCCCATAACGTGCCACAATTACCGACACAACATACAAAACACGCCGCAACACGCACTGGCCACTTCTGCTTGGCTTAGATTCAATTGAAAATCCGTGCAATAGTATGCTTGATGCTTAAAAGATAGCGCGAGATGTCGCGCGCTGTCATCATCTTTGGCTGGAACGAGCAGACGACTTTATTGTGGCAGTTTTCGGGGGTGCAATAATTACTCGAGGAAAAAAAAGAAATCGTATTTTTGTTGGGCAATGTGGGGGTGCGAGAATCATGCAAGTGCGAGGATTACGCGAGTAAATACGGTATTTCTAATGTTTTATTATTTTGACAGAGTTTTTATTCATCCGAAGTGTGGTATCTATCTAAAGCATCGATTGTCTTGTTTTCTTTTAGTTAGTGCACTTTCAGCTTTGATGTTATATATTTTTAAATTTGGAATAAGTCTGGTTGTTTCATCAGTATATAATTCTTAGTAGAAACCACAAGAAAGAGAATGAGATGCATATACATCCAACTCCTGGCTAGACCCATGTTGGGACGAGGAGGCCGAGCCTCTTCGCCCTCTCACGGGCCTTCCGTACAGCCAGGAGCTGGATGTCATAGCTTGGGTCATTGGTAGCAGCGGTCCACCAGGCTACTTGACAGCAGTCATGCAATGCAGGGCATTGCCAGAGCATGTGTTTCAATGCGCTAACTTGTCCGCAGTTGGGGCATGTTGGGTCCATCTCCGCATGTACCATACTCGAGAAGCTTTTTGAGGGGTAAGAATCCGTTTGGAGCATTCGCAGCGTGACAGATTCGGCTCTATTAACTTTATAGTGAGGAGATGGAAACCCTCGTCTAATGCCCCTGTAGTGCAAGGTCATCTCGTGAAAGGTGACGTGCGGACCGCTGAACTCGAGTTGTTCTGAACCATTACAGTGCTCCTGATCCCCACGGCATATGAATCAAATTTTAATTTACAGTGATGTGTGTCGTGTCCCTAGAAATCTGCTTGAAAACTAACTTGCATGTCTCCAAAACTCCCCTTTTATCTCTCCAAAGGCACTCCAAAACTGCATTATTCTTTCTCCCTGAGCTGCTCCAATAGACTGAAACTCGCTTCCATCCATGAAAGGTACAATATTGCTCTCAGATGCGATGTCCACAAGGCATCCAAGTTTAAAGAATTTGCTTCTATTGGTCAATCTTATACCGATGTATTGAAAGCGTAATGATACACTATCCTTAAATCAAATTTAGCAATCTATGCTCGGCGACAACGTTCCTTCACAGCACCGTAGAAGCTACAGAACCGAAGCGCATGCCTGCCACTTCACTAAAAATTAGTACTTAGGCTTACTGATAGTTTTCAGAGTTCCCTTGCTGAATAGCGACTGTTTTATTCATTACGAGACTGAACAGTTGCAGAAAGTCATGGGTAAAAAATAGTTATTGTTCACTTTACAAAAATACCTTCCTTTCAATTTCTTAGACAGCGCCGCCTTTTCAGCACACCAGTTTCCCAAGTTAAACACTGCATCTGTGACGTAGTGGTTCAGTAATGGCCGCAAACATGCCGTTTAGTTGTCCAAGAAAAATATACTTGTAATATAACACTTAAATGTACAATGAACAGTCAATCTCTCCCATTCACGTTTCTTAAGGGGCAAACACATCTTAGACATTTTCTTGTTTATTTCTTCAGGGATCTTGATCAATATGCACAGGATTATGCAGTTGCTGATTCCAAATATTAATTAGTTTTCCTGTAACTCATCCAAGAAAAATATACTTGTAACATAACACTTTAAATGTACAATGAACAGTTAATCTCTCCCATTCACGTTTCTTAAGGGGGGCAAGCTCATCTTAGACATATTTTTGTTTATTTCTTCAGTGATCTTGATCAAAATGCGTAGGATTATACACTTGCTCATTCCAAATATTTAATTAGTTTTCCTGTAACGCATTCAAGAAAAATATACTTGTGTAAAGAGGTTTATTGGGCAAACCTAACGGGCAGGTGAAAGATCAGAGAAAGCCACAGGACGAGGAAGATGGTGGAGCTCGAGCGCCGATCTCGTAGTGCCTTACTCTGCGATGATGGTTGTTGTTCCCTGGTGTTGCCATCATTCCTTCATTATAATTGCCCCCGTCGAGAAAGATGAAGCCATCCTGGCTTCATCTTTCAGGTGGGAACGAGCAGGTCGAAGCACGGCTTCAAGTAACCCACGGGAACAATATCGTGTCCACGCCGACGATGGTCACCGAGC